ATTTACAAACATAAAGTCAGTCCATGGTGTTGTGGTATCTTGGACAACGACTTACCTTATTCTTTTAAGTGTCATCTATGGCAAGGACCTAATTTCAAGCATCACCAAGAGTTTGAAGCTTACGATGGTAACATATGGGAAGCTAGAGAAGACGGAATCTATCGTCAGTCCGTGTTGGTGTATGGTTGGGATGTTCCAATATCAAAAGCTTCTTCGTTGGGATCGAGTTACATCTCTTTAAGCTTGTTGTTAGTTTCTTCCTCGTTGTTTTCCAATTATATTCTCTAGTTTTGGTTAGTAGGTTTATTGTTTTTGATTTTTTTGTTCTTTTGTGAGTTTTGGAGTTTTGTATTTGAAATGATTTAATTTCTCTTCTTAGATTGATAACGTGAGTTTCTAGATTCAAGACTCGAGGGTTTGTGGTTTCGAATGGGACTTAAAATATAAGGTTTGGTCAACAATGGATTAGGTCACGTGAATATAAATCGAATTATCCAAAAAACCAATCTTGAAGCCAATTACAAACTTCACTGAATATGTATATAACTATAATTATTCTGAAAAAAAACTTTATGTAGTTTAAATTTATATACAATTTGATTACTCGATTAATCAACACAACAATAACACTCATGTCTCTCCATAGCTTGACACATCAGTTTTTTGAAGCTTTATAAACATAACACCTCAACAAAAATAATCACCAATTAAAATATTTTATTAATACAACTCATCTACTTATTTTTAAATTTTAAACTTAAGCCCTTTAAAAACCTAAATACTTTTTCTATTAATTTTTATTTTATTTTTTACCAAACAGAAACCCAAATAATTAATAACAACAAATAAAAAAATCTTTATTTTATTTTTACCAAACTCAAGCCTAAATAATAAAAAACAACAAATAAAAAATTGAAACTTTGTTTTATTTTTTGCCAAATCCATATCCAAATAATAAATAATAACAAATAAATATTAATAAAAAATTTCTAGCTATCTGTTTGTTTGACAGAGACGTATATGATTGAAAAAAGTGTAGGTTCAGCATCAACCATGCTTCGACGAGAAAACAAATTTTCTTGGTTTTGGCGGGAATAAGAAATTTATCTGTTTTGCCGAAAGTAGGAGATTTCTTGATTTCGGTAGGAAAATGTGATTTTCAGTTTTGGTAACAAAACATAATTTCTTGGTTATGGCGGAAAAAAGCAAATTCTCAGGTTTAGCGGAAAAATGTGAATTCTTGGTTTTAGTGAGAAAACAAAAAAAAAATTGATTTTGACGGGAAAACAAAATATCTTAGTTTTGACGGAAAAAATGCTATTTTCGGTTTTGATACGGAATGCAACTTTTCAATTTTGACGAAAATACGATTTTTCAGTTTTGATAGGAAATGCAAATTTTCGACTTTTGACCGATTTCATGGTTTTCACGCAAAAATGTGGTTTATTAGTTTTCATGGGAAATTGAAATTTAATAATTTTGGCGGAAAATGCAATTTTTCGGTTTGATAGGAAAACAAAATTTCTAGGTTTTGGCGGGAATAAGCAATTTCTCGGTTTAGATGGGAAATGCAAATTTTCAATTTTTAAAGAATAATGTGATTTTTTTTTTCGCAGGAAAATACAATTTCTTAGTTTTTACGGGAAAATACAATTTTTTAGTTTTTGCGGGAAAACACAATTTCTCGGGAGATAATGCAATTTTTGGTTTTTGCGGAAAATTATAATTTATCTGTTTTGGTAGGAAAGCGTGATTCTTGGTTTGACGAGAAAATGAATTTTTTTGGTTTTGGCGGGAATAGACGATTTCTCGGTTTTTGCAGAAAAATAATTCTTTTTGGTTTGACGGGAAAATACGATTTGTTTTTGTTTTTGCAGGAAGATGAAATTTTTTGGTTTTAGTGAAAAACGTGATTTCTCGGTTTTGGCGGAAAAACACAAGTTTTTGCGGGAAAATGTTTGACGAGAAAATAATTTGTTTGGTTTTGACGAGAAATGAGATTTCTCGGTTTTTGTAAGAAGATGAAATTTCTCTATACTAAATTTTCAAATTAAAATATGTTACAATAACCAAAATTTGATTATTTAACTTTAACTAAAACATTATTTCAAGAGTTCAAACAGAATTTTCTGTTTAGTGCTAAAGCATTAGCAATGATTTTGATATGAATGTTTTTAATTATAGTTTGATAATTTTAGAAATATATATTTTTAATAAATATTTGATAAATAAATAAATTTTGTAATTTACGATAATCATATTAATTAATAATATTTTTTGAAAATGGCATTTTGCTTTATATAATTACAAAGGAGGATCAAGTAGTAATTTATTGGAGAAAAAAGATTATATTTACTATTAGTATAAAAATACTAAAAATGTATTGTTTTATTCTTACATATACATTTATAATTAGTTAGCTAAACAAATTTAATAGCAAATTATAATTTTGAAAAATAAAAAATATACATTATTTATTATATTTAAAACATATAAATACATAATTTTAGCTAATAAAAAAAATACAATACTCATTATATATAAAATTTAGAAAAATATCCCGCAGCGTAGCACGGATAAATACCTAGTGTAATATTAATTCACGCAAAATCGCATAAAACGTTGCCCAAATTATCGAAAGAGAAATAAAAAGAGAATAAAACTTTAATCTAAACATTGTTTTCACTATTTTGTTTGAAATAGAAAGGATCGATTTATGTCGGTATATATCTGTCTAAAACGGGCCAATGGGCCCATACTTTTGTTTCTGTATTGATTCAATACTCTAAACCAACGTGTAATTTGTATGCGCTTCACAAAACAGCGTGTAGTGTAGAAGAATTCTTTTGAACTACATGTCGTTTGTATCTCCGAAACCCTAGCTCCCAAATTATTATTATTCCCTGTATAAATAGCTCGAGAAAGTTTAACAATGAATAACATCTTCTTAGGGTTTTAAAACCCTACGCCGAATTTAGCTTCTCTTCTTCTATTAGATTTTTTAGTTTTTTCGTTCCGATTTTTAATGATTTTTGCTTCCAGTGTTCATGGACAGTGACGATTGATATTTGGTCTCGTTCGTCGTAATATCGGCCGTAAAGGCTTATTTGCCGACCATTCTGTTATATCACCACCCATATTCTGAGTCCATCCCAGAAATTTTAGTTTCTTTTTTTTTTCAATCGATTTTAGCCTATGATTTAAATGATTTTGACAAGCATATGTCTGAATTAATCCTTGTTGATAAATCTAATCTTCTCTATGAGGCTGATTATTTTTTTTCGCTATATTATCAAATCCGATTTCGTTCTGTTGATAATTTTGCGTTTTGGATCTGTTTTGAAGTCAGTGGCCTATGATTTAAATAAATTTGACAAGCATATGTCTGAATTAATCCTTGTTGATAAAATCTAATCTTCTCTATGAGGCCATTTGTGATTAAACTTAAATTCGATTTTGATTTTTCTGTTAAGTGTGTTGTTTTTTCAAATCTTTGTTTAAATGATGAGAAAAGGTCAAGTGAGGATTGATAACGCATAGTTCAGATGATAAAAATCTTACATGATTACATCTATTCAGCATAGTCTTTCGCTCCTATCTGATGACCCTTTCTTATTATTTTTTATGATTCGAATTTGATTATGTTTAATCGCTTGAACATAATTTTCCCAATTTTGTTCTGAATTTTTGATTAAACGACTTAAAAAAGGGCACTTGATGCGGCAATAAAGAGACTTACTGCAACTGAAATTTACCATTGTAGAAAAGAACATAATATTTTGTAGTTTGTCTTCCCGTTAAATAACAATGGTAACAATTAAATTAGAGAAGCTTTAAAATTTACAGTAAATAACAAATTAACAGAATTTGCAATTATAGAGATTAACGTTATAAGGAGAATATATCATTATTAAGTTTGCGTATGCCTGTTGTCAATCTATCACCGTAGAATTTAGCACTTTGTTTATTAATCGAGGAACTTCTCTTCTCTTTGGGATTTTCTGATTCGAATTCTTTTCTGGTAGAGCTCGAAATCCAAACATTCGAACGAAATCGATGCCGAAAAGACTCAATCGAAACTAGAACTTGTGCCATCTATATTGAATAATTTAGTTTTTTATGAGATGCGTATGATTTTTTTTAGTGTTCAGCTTTAATAAAATTATGTAAGAGTAACCCGGACTATTTCATCATGTATCTCAAACAATATTAAATATTAAAAAATTCTAGTATGATATATTAATTGAGTCTCTCAAAATGTGAGATATTCACTCAAAACTCTAAAGTATTTGAAATTGTTTGAGGATATTTTACACTCAAAACTAATATCATACTATTTTTTTTTTTTAATATTGTTTGAGATACCTTGTAAGATATTTTTAATGGAGTTGTTATAAAAATATTTATAATAGTAGTATCTCATCAAATATCTAATAATTAAAATAATAGAAAAAAGTAAGAGAAATAGATCTTTTTAAAGTGAACGGATGTCTAGAATTTTTTATTTTTTTTTGTCAACAGCTTCAATTTTCTAAATTGGTTCGGTGAACTAACTTGGTGAAGTTGAGTTTACAAAATAAATTTCATGAAGATGATTTCGTGCGCGTCGTGCGGATGCCTAGAATATTGAAAATGATAGAATAATTTTTGGAATTAAAACTTTTTTTTTATTTGTTGTATCTGTTTTTTTTATTTGTTGTATCTGAAAAGATCTCACTTTCAATTACTATCTCCTCCAACTGAGTGATAATCAGCCTTGTTCTGTTACATAACTCTTTTTTCGGGTTGAGATTTCTAAGTAGCATAATTGAGACTCCAACTTTAAAACATAGTCGATGATCTGGAAACCCAGGGAATTCCAATGCATTTAGATATTTTGTAGGATAGGACACTTCGTAATTTCCATCATGTACTTCATCAGGGCCTGTAGTATCACAATTTAAATACCCTTTTTCTAAGCCAGGCACTTTAGATAGTAGGAAATAGTTGATCTCATCTACGGTCTCATTTCTTGGTTTCAAAATAGCTGACTCTTTAAGTTTGTCCAAATCCTGAAATGATCTTAAAAATTATGGATAAACAGACTTGCATAGCTTCTCTAACGGCTTATCTGTTTCTGGTATTAATAGATTGTCATCAATCAGGATGCTTTCTTCTTCTGTATATTTCTCTACTTCCTGGTTCGCCTTCAATGCTACTCCGTCTCCTACTTGTAGAATCCATTTTGAGAAATCCTTTTCTTTTTGACCCACACTCATATTTTGAGATAGCAAAAACTTAATACATGATTGCCAGAGATATGATCGATTAATCGTTGCATTCATTGTCTCTTGTCTTGTTACTTGAGGGATAACTGGTAAGATTTGTCTGAAATCTCCGCCTAGAAGAACAGTTTTCCCTCCAAGTGGTTTATCTAGCACCATAGAATATCTCTCAATGTTCGATCAATTGCTTCGAACGTATGTCGATGTGCCATCGGGGCCTCGTCCCAGATAATGAGATCAATTTTACTAAGTATAGTCGATATCATTGTTCTCGCCTTAACTTCACATAATGAATCCTCATGCACATTCCATGAGATGCATTTGTTGCACTTAAGATTCGTCCCACTTTTGCTTAGTTTCCGGCTATATGCAGCACATGAAACATAAGACCAACCATTTCTTTGCAGTACACCTAGTACACATGCTTTGCACACGAAGTCAGCTTCCTGTCTCTTCATTGGATTTGAACAATAAAACATTAGTGGTGAGGTAGTGGTGGTTAGATAATTTAGTTATGCTTGATTGTATTTGAAATACCTGCTCATTAGATTTGGAGATAAAATCATTGAGTTTTGCAATTGAAACAGCCTCCTTCTTTCTAATACCGTCCTTTGTTTCTGTTTGCACAAATGGTTCAATGGATTGTATTCCCATCCTGCATGCAGTAGGTGTAGATAATAATTTTAGTGTTGCAATACAAAGGTGTTAATTATATATATATTGTGTGAAATAATAATCATGTTTTCCCAATACTATGCAGGACAAATAAGCATAAACAAATCATAACAGAGGAGGGAGACATATTTTAATACCGTGTGGTGAATTGTTGGATTGCGTGAATGGTATTGTCAAAGAAGAATCTGGTGGCAGGTGTGGAGTTCAGGTATAGGTTACCTATTCGTAAGAGCATATGAAAAAGTAGTATAATTATTATTTGAAAGAGTCGTAATGAATTTCATTGTGTTGTTGTGTTAAGTCAAGTGTAATTAATTCATACCTCCAAACAGCTTAGGATTGATGTTAGTAACCACCATGACTGAATGCATTGTGTCACCAGTGGTCAGATATGCCTGGAAGGTTGCAGCAGCATCATCCCAGAGAGAGAGGTAAACAACAATAGATATGTATGATGTATGTGAGTTTAGTGTTTGAGTGGTCGTTATGTAATGAGTTTGTGTTTCAATAGGGATCAGATTAGATAAAATTATGTATCAACACGGAAACGAACTACCAAGTGTTGTGTGGAAGTTGGATCATCAAGGTTTAACCCTTGAATAAAGCAGATCTGGCCCACCACGTCTATTTGAAGCAAATATTTAATATTGTTGTATCATGTGATACTGATTGAGTTGTATATTGATGAGGATTTTAATATGATTTTTACCAGGAAGTTCAAGGTTAGGGTTGGCTAAAGCTTGGAGATGGTCGATGTTGCGGAGCATGAATCTCTCATGCTTTATGGTTGGGCTAACAACATGCATTTCAGCAATTGTTGTGGAAGCAAGGAAACGGAGTACAAATGGATGATCAGTGATCTTATAAAGTTTAGTGCACCTTCCTACTTCAAATCCTTCTATGTTGAAAATTGCATCCTCTCTTAATTGCGGGCGGTATTGATCATCACAGCCGGCTGGTATGAAGCCATAAATTACAGAATTTTAGGGAAAAAAATAGGGAGTAGAAAACAGTTAGAGATGGGGGTGAGGTAGAAAATGGAGTTCAATGAAGTGGAAACTATTAGCTTCTCATCTAGGAGAAGCAGGACAATTCCCATGTATTCTCCATTCTTTTTGATATTCCGTGCGTCCCAAAAACGTAAAAGCCTACCGATAACTTGTTGTGTTGAGCGACGGAGATCATCGAAAGTTACAAAATTAGCATTGGCTGGAATAGCGATAATATCAGTTGCAGACATGGTTGTTGTTTTTGTATGTGGGAGGGTTATCTCTATTTCAGAGTTTGGAAGTAGCGATTCGGTGATATGGGGTGTATGTAGGACTATTTATATTGGATATTGAGGTAACGTTTCAGGGGATATTGATGAAGGGAAGTAGAAAGGGGGACGTAATTATGGCGATGAGAGGCATTGAATGAATCGTAATAACTTCGGGTTAACTGTCGAGAGAGGTAGAGAGAAACGTAAAGGAGTGCGTACGTGATGATGTGTCTTCAGTTTATTAGGTTCGTTTAGTAAGGCGTAAAAAATATGAATAAGGCCTAAAGAATATGAATAAGGCCCAAAAAAATATGAAATTAATAGATGTATGGGTTCGTTTAAATATATTTTTTAAAAAGCCCATTGTTGTTTTCTCTTTTTATATGACGTGGACACCTTCGTTGGAGAGAAGGTTTGCTCATTATATATATGATTCCAAGGTCCGTAAAACGAGTCAAACTTGGATATCCCCTTTTTCCAATACACCTAAGTGTATCCAACGTTTTGAGCCTTGTTATGAGATCTCCATTTTATATACTAGAAGAATTTAACCTCTAACTTCCAAATGGGACATTTTACAAATGTTACATTTTAAGCTTTACAAGCAACACACTATGGACCTCTATTTCTCATTCAAACCAACTCCAATTTTGACATTTAATAACATTATTATATAATGCTTACGGCTACGATTTTATTATGCCCAACATTTGGTTACTCCGACGAAACTCTTTGCCGAAAACTTACTGGAAATGGTCTAAAACTATTTCATCAAAACAAGTCCCAACAATTATCCACATGAATTGAAATGACTCTAGACACATGACGACTCGACAAATTTAATTTCCTAGACGAGTTGGTAGTATTTTTGAGAGTACACATGACTTTTTGAGAGTACAATAAAAAAATCCACTGCATATGAGTTGGTAGTATTTTTCATCCTTGAACTAGTCATTATTAATAACTATCAGATTTACTCGATCAGGAGGTGAACATGGTGTCTTGAACCACCCGGTGTTTTATGTAAATCAAGACAATAGCTATAACACATCTTCATTCTCTCACAAAATTCGGCTCTTTATTGTGTTCATTTTGGCTATGAACATGCATGGTAATCATGAGTGAACTAGAAGAATATAGTCTTTCCTTTATGCCCCTAGAAACAGCCGCATTTCACACTCACAAAATGATTTGCCATTGACTATGTTTAAAGGAGCATCCTGTAATACTCTATGTATATCTCAAAGTTATGGACTCAAATCATTAAAAGAAAATACTTATCCTCTACACATACAGGTTGGACTGGTAATCATCTTGGAAACTAGGCAAAGACATAAGTCTTCTAGTGCTCATATTGAATTTCACTTGAATTTGTTTTCCTTTTAAACTTAGATCTTGAGATCTCCAGTCACATAGGTAGGATTACCATCCAATATCCTCAATTCATAGGCTTTAAACCTATTCCTTTTGATGATTTACAATTTGGTTTCATGGCCCACCTTTAAAATTGAATCCTAGATTATCATTTGATTGGACATAATCTAATGAGTTTACTCCATTTAAAATTAATTGTCTAAATGGTCTTATGACATCTTCGTAAAAGACATGACTAACCAATAAAATTTGTAATTGATTAATTAAATCAATAATTCACAGAATTTAAACAAATTCAAAAACTATTATTAAATTAAATATAAAGACAAAAACACATTCAAATTAAACCAAACAAGTAATTGCGCAGACAGTTTAAACTGATATTCTACAAAATGACAAACTCAAATATTACTCAAAATAATGCCACAAATTAATAGTTCTGGGAGTAATATAGACAAAACATGTTAAATCATTGCTAAATTTCATAATAAATAAATTTAAAATTTTAATAAATCTATTAAATTAAATGCAAACACATATATAATGCAATTTTGATAATTCAAATAAATTTCAATTAAAATATCAGAAAACAGAGTATAAAACCAAGATACTGTCTAATGATATATGGAATTAAGCAAATGAATGAATGATTCGATTGTTTGCTAAATCATTTAACATAACAATGACCGAACACCTCAGCTCCACTTGCTCCTTCCGGTCCTCCTACACAAACAAATGGAACCTTAACCTCTTGTACCTCGACTCAAACCTCTGGAATTTAGAGGCAATCCGAGCCCACTTACCTCACTATGAGGACACCATCAGACTTCTCATCCCAAGCTCCTTTAAGCATTTAGATGCCCTCGTCTGGTTACCTGCAAAATCAGGCAATTTCTCAACAAAAACAGGATATAATCTTCAAAAGCGCTACAACCAAATAGGAGATGCGGAATTCAGTTGGTACCAATACATTTGGAACCTTCTATGATATGATCATGAAAAGCATCAGGATATGTGTGCATTGTTTGAAGCGTATCTGCTCAATCACGATGATTAAATGCATGAAACCTCTTGTAGAATGTGTTCAGCTCAATCACGGAACTCCCAGAAGAAGAATCAAATCAAATGAAGTTCGGATGAAGGAGTTATTCAATTTACAAGTCAGGTGATTTCCGGTTTATCCGATTCGAACCTGTGTGCATTCATTGAAGGATTCCAACCGGGCCAGAATGAACTAAGCTACAAACCGAGTAGTTCAATATTCTTAGTCCATGAGTGAAGCCCAGAAAAGTGTTTTAGCCCAAAAACAATCAAAGAAGATAGATTTTCGTCCAAGTAAAAACTGCATTTAATTCTGTCTGCTTCTCTATCCTCCATGCAGATTTGAGTCCAATTTCGTTTCCAAGATGCTGTGCATGTTAGGCTCTTATTATGGACGAAAATGAGTTGTATTTCTCTATATATAGAGACCCAAAATCATGAATAAAAACAAGTTTTGTTTTCAGTAAAATCAGAGAAGTTTCTCTCTTTCAAGATGTGATATCTTGTTATTTTTGGAACTCCATATTCATGGTGTATCATATATATGTTCATGACTGGTTTAGACTTATCATAGATCATTTCACAGATCTTTGTGGCGTCTCTCGATCCATCTTCTATCCATCCCTTGTTGGTGCATCATATCCAGCAAGCTTATCAATCCTCTTTGGTGCGTAATATCCAGAGAATCGATCCGCCGGAAAATCAGGAGTCTTCCGCAGCTTCTGTGTCACTATTCAATCCACATCTCCTTGTTCTTCGTGGCTTCACAATCTGTTAAATGAATGCTTATCATTTTCTACCAACTCTAGAGTGCCGATTCTTGGGAGAATCATTTCAATACCTCGCAGAAAATCAAGCATCACCTTTAAAGAGCAACGAACGGAGCCCTCCCGGTGGGCGTGAATCTCCTCTGGAGAGGGATAGAAGCTAACACATGCTGCCCATGATGTGGAAAACAGGAGTCAGTCTCGCATATCTGATTCGAGAGTGGGAGGCATGGGATGGGTAATCTCAAGCCCCCAAAGTGGCATTATCCTTGAAATTTCTTTTGCATGGCATTTCATCTCCTCAGCCCTAACAGCGGAAGCCCTAGTGGTCCTTGCTGCTCTTCATGAAGCTCTCTCGCTGGAGATATGAGAGCTTCACCTCCAATCAGACTCAGTAGTCCTCATCAACGCCCTTCTTTTCAGGATCAGAACTGATTGAGATTTCAGGTATAATGGATGACATCTGAAGCCTTGTACCACTCTTCTCTTCCCTATCATTTAGTTCTATCACCTGAGCTGCAAATGCTATTGCAGACGGGCTTGCAAAAACTGAGCCATCTTTATTAAGCGCAATGTGCCTCATGAAGAACCTCTCTCTTTCATTTATAAAAAATGATATATAAATCCAAAAATATATGTATTAAATATATATAATAATAAATTTGAAAACAAAACGAAATTATAGGTCTTTAACCCATTTACCACATTTTGAGGTCATAACACAAGTCCAACTCCGATATCTTCTTTCTCCAATACACCTAAGTGTATCCAAGGTTTTGAGCTTTGTTATGAAATTTTCAGTTTATATACAAGAGGAATTTAACCTCTAACTTTCAAATAGGACATTTTAAATTTTACAAGTAATTCATTATAGACCTCCATTTCTCATTCAAACCAATTCCAATTTTGTCATTTGATAATATTATAATATAATGCTTACAGTTATGATTTCATCGTGCTTAACATCCAGTTATTCCGATGAACGTCTTCGCCAAAAACTCACCGGAAATAGTCTAAAACCATTTCGTCAAAAACGAGTTCGAACAATTTTAAATATATGTATCTTTTTATAACTAGTTTATTTCTTTAAAAAAAACAAATTAATAATATAACTGATTTGTATATAAATATTAGTATTTAATTATTAAGAATCCTATTTTGAATATCCAACGGATGAAGCTTCTCTAATATAAGCTTTGTAGAACAACCTTATGATATAAGATTGAAATTACACCAAATCTTATTGATCACAAGATGTCAAGACTTGATACGCCTTGGCGGAATATGGACGAAATAGAGACGGAGATAGAATTTTTGATTGACTCACTCAATCGGTGGATTGACTTACTCACTTAGTCGGTGGGATGGCTGACTCACTTAGCCGCTGGAAATAGACTAGTCTGAATCACAAAAACAATTTTATTCCAATAATCAGTAGAAACAAATAAATCTCTCAAATGAATTTAAAGATGAAAATAAACAATGCCTAAGCTTTTAGAGAAATTTTTTTCTTGATTTTCATAAATTTCAATATATTTTACAAATAAAAATATATGAGCTTTTATAGCTCTTACAAAGAATCCTTACAACAAATTACATTAAAATTAATTTATTTATATTTGAACAAAATAAGAAAAATAAACTAAATCAAATAAATGTTTTCTTGCCACCAATTTTGTTTTGGTATTGAATAAGAATCCTTTGACTTTATAAAATTATGAAGACCTTTGATTATTTAATTTTTGATATAGTATCATTTTAGAATATGTACATTCTTTAGACAAGAATGTTATTTATTTCAATATATGTTTAAAAGTACTTAGAATTGTCATTAGATATATATTGTCTTACAAAATATATATATACCAACAGGCCCATAATTTTGTTTCTGTATTGATTAGAGACTCTAAAACAACGTGTAGTTTGTATGCCTTCACTAAAGGATTCGTTTGAACTACATGTCGTTTGTTTCTCCGAAACCCTATAAATAGCTCGAGAAAGTGTAATATTGAACAACATCTTCTTAGGGTTTTTATGATCTACGCCGAATTTAGCTTCTCTTCCTCTATTAGTTTTTTTCTTTCTCCGTTCTGGTTTTAATGATTTATTTCTTCTGGTATTCATGGACAGTGACGATTGATATTTGGTCTCGTTCGTCGTAATATCGGCCGTAAAGGCTTATTTGCCGACCATTCTGTTATATCACCACCCATATTCTGAGTCCATCCCTAAAATTTTCAGTTTCTTTTTTCTTCCATCGATTTGGCCTATGATTTAAATAAATTTGACAAGCATATGTCTGAATTAATCCTTGTTGATAAAACCTAATCTTCTCTATGAGGCCTATTTTGATGATACTCAAATTCGGTTTTTGATTTTGCTGTTTGTGTTTGTGTTTTGTTTGTCATAATGTTTTTAATTGATGAGAAAAGGGTCAAGTGAGGATTGATAAAGCATAGTTCAGATGATAAAAATCTTACATGATTACATCTATTCAGCATAGTCTTTCGCTCCTATCTGATGACCCTTTCTTATTATATATCTCTGGTGTTTCGAATTTGATTATGTATAATCGTTTGAACGATATATTTTCCAGTTTTATTCTGAAATTTTGATTTGACGACTTAAAACATGGACTTGATGCGGCAATAAAGATTGATAACGCATGGTTCAGATGATAGAAATATATTTTCCAATTTTTTTTCGAATCTTTGTTTAATTGATGAGAAAAGGGTCAAGTGAGGATTGAAACGCATAGTTCAGATGATAAAAATCTTACATGATTACATCTATTTAGCATAGTCTTTCGCTCCTATCTGATGACCCTTTCTTATTACTTCTTATGTTTCGAATTTGATTATGTATAATCGGTTCAAATTATCAAAGTAATTAATAGCTTATCTATAAATTCTGATGACTTAAAACATGACACTCGATGCAATAATGAGATTTGTCATTGCATTAAACATCATAAATTTTGGTAGATGAATTCCTCACAGTAGAACTGTTACAAAACAATTCGGAAGCTTTTAAATTTAAAGTAAATAACAATCATCTTGAACAAGATGAAAAACTAGTATTCACAATTTGAATCATCATAGTTTTCATTTGTCACTGTAATTATTTTATCCTTATTTGAGTTGAGACTATTGAGCTATGGGTTTTTGAAATCAGTAAATAGCTTATTTGCAGTAAACCACACAATCAAAAAACCCCAATTATATAAAACATGTGCTACTACACTAGTTTGTGATAAAGGATTAATACAGAAACATAGATGCAAATTTGAAGAATACCAAACAGAGTAAGACTAAGCAATAAAGTAATGAGTAGCAGAGAGCATACCAAACAGGAAAATATTGTACATTTGATTTTTTGTTAAACAAATTACACTAAATTTAAATTGAATTAAAAAATCAAAACCGACAATGGTGTTGTGTCTTGTGTGTAAACTGCATTAGCCAATAAAGATCATGAAAGTTTGGACGAAAAAGAATCATGTGCGAATGTTGCATAATGTTGCTCACGGATATGAGTCCTGCAAAATTATTTGTTTGGTGATTTGATATGAAGAAACCATTTGGTTGGCTAGATTTAGTGTTGTTGACAAAGAGTCCCCAAAAATAAAAGTTGAAGTTTTTAAAGAATTTGGTGAATGCATTATGCACTAGCTCGAGAGGTTGAAAGTTTGAAACACACAATTTTGATTAAATTAATAATTGATTAGTATGATTTTTTCTAATGTTGAGCTTTAATAAGAATATGTAAACCTTCACAAGATGTGGAAATAGTAGAAAATTCTAATATGAGCTCTGTAGAACGACCTTACGATATGTATACACACATATTTAGAAAAGTATGCTATTTATTTCAACTTATGTTTAAAAGTACTTAGAATGGTAATTAGATATATTGTCTTACAAAATATATATATCGTAATAATTTTGAATTTCTGAAATGCATTTTGAATTTTTCTATTCTTTTTTTTTGTCGTATCTACTCGAACCAAACTTGTTTTATTTATTTTAAAACAGTCAAATTCTTCGGTTACAATGTCAAACTTTGAAGAATCGAGTGTATTATTATGTAACTGACACCCAAAACTAGCGACAAATGGTCACCAAACTATTGGCTTCGTCTCTTTACACAACATACGCTTGTAGCTATTTCCCTATTTTGTTCCCATGCATACACACAAATCCAATATTTATGAGCACGAGAACAAACATATATCGATACATAGAACTAACCAGTAACCACAACAACAACAAAAAATGAAGATGTACCAAAAATCTGACTCAGACATGACAAGCCTGGACCTATCATCATCATCACCGAAACCTCCCACTTACTATGTCCAAAGCCCATCACGTGACTCCGACAAATCTTCCTCGGCTGCACTAACTCATCAGAATACTACTCCTACAGAGTCTCCGTCACACCCGTCGTTTGCTAGCCGCGTATCCAACGGAGGATTCCGGTGGAAGGGAAGGAGGAAATATCACGGCGGAAGATGGTCTCCGGCGCCTGATAAGGAGGAAGGTGGTGATGATGGAGAGTACGAGAATCTTTATGGAGACAACAGAGGAATCTCTATTGCTACTTGTAGACTTATTTTGGGAGTTATTGCGACATTGACACTCTTTTTTCTTATCAGCTCTGTTCTCTTTGCGGCTTCTCAATCCTTCTCTCCCACCGTCTACGTCAAGGTACTTTAATCCTTAACTTACATAGCAAGAATCACTTACCTATTTCAAACCCTAATTTAGAATTACTCAAGTAGTTGTAAACGCAAAAGCCTAAATTGACATTTGAAACATTCTCAATTTCAATATTTGTAAAGTTCTAAAAGTGTTTTAACTTTTTTACATGCATGTGTTTTAAATAGGGTGTGAATGTGCATAATTTTTACTACTGGGAAGGTTTAGATAACACAGGAGTTCCGACAAAGATCATGAACATCAACTGTTCAATGCAGATGACAACACACAATCCTTCTACATTTTTCGGTATCCACGTCAGCTCCTCTGCTTTCAAACTCATCTACTCTAGTCAATTCACACTTGCTATTGCTCAGCTCAAGAGTTATTACCAACTAAAACAGAGCAACCACACGTCTAGGATCAACCTCGTTGGCTCCAAGGTTTCACTCTATGGAGCAGGACCGGACTTAGCTGCTTCAGACAACAACGGTGGAGTTCCCGTGAAGTTGGAGTTCGAGATCCGATCACGCGCGAACATTGTCGGAAGTTTGGTTAACTCTAGGCATCGGAAACACCTCTCTTGCTTCTTCTTCATCTCTTCCAAAAACACCACATTTGTTAAATTCACCAACAAGACTTGTAACGAATAAATTTTTCTTTATTTTACTTTTTTGTTATTCAATCCACTTCTTCCGTTTCAATACGTGTCATTTATAAGAACTTTTCAAGTTCAAAACAAATAGTATCACTTTAAAAGTTTAATTGTTAGGTAATTTGGGGTTTTGGTTCGGTTTGGGTAAATATTTTTCGTATCTATCTAATAATAGAATGTGCCTCTAATAGAATTGGAATTAATATTTTGGAGAATACAAATGAAAATGACACGTAGTATAGAATCAACCAATTGTGGAACACTAAAACTGAGTGAGTAGATCAAGGAGAAAAAATTGGAAGAACTTTTCTTCTAAGAACTAATAAACAGAGTTGTTCGTCAGGAAAAAACCACTGAGAAAAAAAGAGGTAAGATGATGGACGCAACGTCTGAATCAGAAAGAACAAGCTTAGACCTATCGATTTCATCACCAAAACAAGCTTACTACGTTGAGAGCCCATCAAGCGTGTCCCAAGTACTATACGATGGTGATAAATCATCTTCCTCTGCTTCCTTGATTCAGATTCAAACCCCAAACTACACCATCCTCACGGAGTCACGTCTCTCTTCCTCAAGCCGAACCTCCAATGGAACCAGCGGTGTGGGATTCCGGTGGAAAGGAAGCTCTCGGAGGAGAGACATGTATTGGCTTGAGAGGCCTTACACGATTGATGAAGAGGAAGTTTATGAAGATAGCAACAGAGGATTATCTGTGGGACAATGCAGAGCCGTGATGGTGATATTAGGGATTGTGGTTGTGTTCTCTGTTTTCTGCTCTGTTTTGTGGGGAGCTTCTCATCCTTTCTCTCCTATCGTCTCTGTCAAGAGCTTTAATCTCCATAGCTTTTACTACGGAGTAGGTATAGACAGAACAGGAGTCGCCACCAAGATTCTGAGCTTTAACAGCTCAGTGAAAGTGACAATAGACAGTCCTGCTCCTTACTTTGGTATCCATGTCTCTTCTTCTGCTTTCAATCTCACCTTCTCTGCTCTCACTCTCGCCACTGGTCAGGTACTACTCTGTTGTTTTCAGATTTCACTCATTGCTCCTTATCGTCATCGTAATCTGATTATCAAATCTTGGTTTGTGAAGCTTAAGAGTTATTACCAACCAAGAAAGAGTAAGCACATAGCCATTGTGAAGCTCATAGGCGTAGAGGTTCCTCTGTATGGAGCAGGACCAAACTTAGCTGCTTCCGACAAGAAGGGAAGAGTTCCGGTGAAGTTGGAGTTTGAGATCAGATCACAAGGGAATCTTTTGGGAAAGCTTGTGAAGTCGAAGCACCTGAATCACATCTCATGCTCCTTCTTCATCTCTTCCTCCAAAACCACAAAACCAATACAATTTACTCATAAGACCTGTAAACTCAATACCAAGTAAAACTCTTCTTTTTTTGTTTTTGTTTTCTTCACTATGCAAATAAACATTCTTTGTTTTCTCTACCTGCAAATCCAAATTCAAATGTGCAATCTTTCTCTTCATTTCTTCACAAAAAATTGTACTACTACATTGTTTTTTTCGTTTGGTTTCAAATGCGAAATCAAAAACATTCCAATATGCTTCTATTGCTTATCCACAGCACATGATCCACCATTTAGCACTGTACCGCTTACTCTATTTGGTGGCCAATACCGAAAAACTGACCGTCCTATAATATTCTTCAAAGGCAGAGGACCCCTGAAGACAAACACAAGTTTTTCAGAGTAAGAAACAATCCAAGAAGAAGCTAGATTTCATGAAAACAGATAAACCATAAGGCCTCTTACCACACGTGCGAATCATAACTGTTATTCCGGTTATCACCCATCACAAAGACCGAGTTTTCTGGTACCCGCTACAACGTTGGAAAGTAACCAAAATCAGTAAAGAGAAGAGAAAAAACAAACATTTGATTCGAAAAGAGAGGAATGATACTTACAATTGGTGTCATTTCATAACCAGGAGGCTCTAAGATGAAACTTTCATTTCGAACAACACCGTTAACCATCAGTTTCCCTTCATGAACCTAAACATTTCCCCCAAAACCAATAACCATCAGCTTCACTATCATAAGTATTTTCACTATTAAATGCATCATAAAAACAAAGAATCTGATTATACCTCAACAAGGTCGCCTTCTTTTGCTACAATCCGTTTAATGAATACGTCTGCATCAGTGTACCCAACTTCCTGAAGAACAGGTGGGCTTTTGAAGATTACAATATCGTTCGCACAAGGCTTCCTGAAATAATAACTCACCTGTAACACAAACACATTCCCACAACTTAGTAACTAAAATCATCAAAACTCCCATCAAAACGCATCTCTTTACCTCATCCTCAACATGTAAAAGCTTGAACATTTGTAACAAACCACAAAACCAACAAGTGTGAAACCTTGAAACAGCATTCTACAGATTCCAAAATCTCTCAACTATAGCTCAAAAGTTCAAAATTTTGGTCTTCACTAAGAAAGCTAATATATAAATTATAAAATGCATCTCTTTACCTCACCCTAACCCTCATAACTCTCTTAAAATGTAAAAGCTTGAACATTTGTAAAATCAAAACACAAAACCAACAAGTGATAAAACTTAAACAGCATTCAATAGATTCCAAATCCCTTAACTTTAGCTCAAAAGTTCAAAATTTTGGACCGAAACAAAAAAAGTTTGACTCTTTTTCTCATCATCACCAAAACCCATCAATGCATAAACCTCAGAACTCTCTTAAGATGTAAAAGCTTGAACATTTGTAATCAGAACACAGAACCAACAAGTAAGAACCCTTAAACAGCATTCTATAGATTCCTCCTAATCCCTTAATTATAACTCAAAAGTTCAAATATTTGGTCTTCACTAAGAAAGCTAATAAAAAATTAGGTGAAATTGGAATTGAATACGGCACCTTCTCTGCAACCAGTCTATCTCCGACATCAAAAGTAGGATACATGGACAAGGAAGGAATGTATCTGGGTTCTGCAATAAAATATCGAAACGCCAACGATACAGCTATAGCCAAGAATACAGTCTTGGCATCGTCCGACGTGAAATCTAGCCATTCCGGCAACAGCCTGTTTTTACCCTCCACCTCTCCGTCGTCATCACCGTTATCTCCACCATCGCCTCCTCCGTCATTACCGCCACCGGAATCTAACGGCGGCGCAGGCTTCGTTGTCTCGCCTGAATCCTTAACCCCATAGCAACTCAAACTTCGCCGGAAGGTTTTACGGTTTGAATTTGTTTTTCGGGTATAGAAATTGAGACGACGGCAAGAAACAAATAGAGATTTTGGGGTGAAACTGAGACGAATTGGATTATTCGGGTTCTTACAAAATTTGGAATTGGAATCAGATGTGAGAAAAGATAGCGATGGAGTGGAGAACTGAAGAGATATCATCATCATCATCAACGAGCCAAAAAGCTTCAATCTTTTTTTTTTTGTTCTTATGTTCCAGTGAGGTTATTTTTCATATATCATCTTCTTCTTTTCCTTTAGATATGAAATTATTCTCCGGAGAAGAATTATTTCCTGATAAATCAGCAATAAAAATAATAAAAAACCTTTAAAAAGTGGTTGTTAAGAAGGCAAGAAAATTTGAAAGGGAAAGATACTTTGGAAAAAAATAAAATATACCTTCATTCTGATTCAAACATACATATTTAGAAAGTTGGCCGAATGTGTAACGCAATAAACAAACTTTAATAATCATTAGGTTTATAACTCGAACTAAGCTCATTAATAATTTTGTTTAATTCTTTTTTTCTACTATATTTTAAATTATTAAAATTATAATAGATTTATAGAAATTTGTTTTATATAATAGAATTTAAAATATAATTTATAGTTTCTCTTATTTTTATTTATAAATTTTAAATCTTATTAAATAAATTAATAACGTGACACCTAACAAATTATCTAACTTTGACGTACATATAAATTTGATTTAGAGAAATATTTTCTTGCTACAGTCTTGATGTTTTGTTTTGTTTTTCATATAATTTTTAAAATTCTTTTTTCTTTAAAGTTTATATGTTCAAATATTTAGTTTTTTTATTAAATATTTTATTGATATTGTATACCTATGCATGTATAATTCATGATTCATATTGATTCACATTTAGTTTTGTTAGGAAGTTGCAATGATCATGCAAATCCGTTTATTGCTTCTACTTCAGGTCTAACACGAATTTCAACTTATATTTTTATACAGTTTATTATTTAAACATTCTTTTTTTTGCAGTCTAATATTTGATAATTTTAATTTTAAAACTTGTAGGATTAATGGTGTGGAGTTGTTTCACTATATTTATCTTTTGTGTGCTTTCTGCATGTTTCATTTGAATATTTTAGATCCATATACTAATTTGTATTTGATTCATAAATCTGTCATACTTTATTATTTAAATAGAATTTTATAATATGTTATACATTGTGTTATTAATGTTGGTTCAGATATAGATAGCAACATTGTTTTTGAAGATACTGACATTTTACATATGTAGTTTTTTCTGTTAATGAGACTTATTTCTATTAATTATTAAATAATCAATTTTTAGATGGTTTTTTTTTAAAAAAAAACAATTTTTGATATTATTTTTTATAATTATTGTATGAATATTTTGTAAAACATAATTAACTTTTCATTTTTTTTTATTTATTTTTTATATTAGTTTCTTAAATAGTTAGCTTAAAGCTTCATATTTTTTTGTTAGCTAAGTTTTTTTTTTTACTTTTATCAGTTAAAAACTTATAATTTTTTTATTAATATAATATTTTTATTTTGAAATTTTTTTAATTTAACTTTTTTTGTTGATTTTGGTTTTATGATATTGGATTTCTATTTTATTTGTATAGACGTTATAAATTTGGATTTTTGACATAATTTCATTTAATCTATTTTGTTAATTAAACATTTTTGATCTTCATTTTCCATTCTAATATGAAAGTCCATTATCTAATCACATATTCAAGATAAATTTCTTTACTCAAATACATCATCAAGCATGAAGGTCAAAGTCCATAGAGCCAAAAAATATGCTAGACATCTAGTTTCCTATGCTAATCTCTTGTGCAATAAACTAATATTAACTCACACTCTCATGTATAATCAATGCCTAAAGGACAATTTCCCATTAATGTGGTGTTAAAGTACTTAAACTCAAGTTATGCAAAACATGACATCAACCATAACTTCTTTTAAGCATTACAACAAACACCCTAAGTGCAATACTAGAAAGCCTAGGATCTACTTATCCTATAAAAAAGTACTAAGCATGAAGAACAGTCACACAAGAAGAGATAATCAAAGATCCAACATTCTAACACTTTGAACAATCATTAGAAACACTTTTGTTCTTAAAAAACCAAGATCCTCAAAAACTCAATGAAAAAAATTCAAAATTACTAAAACAAAATAAGAAAGCAAGACTAAGAGATTAAATATTAAAAGAAAAAACCTTAAAATAAAAGTATATACATGTGATCTAATCTCAACTCACAAAGGGTTTGTCCTTGTTCTATGAAAAAGCAAAGCAAAACTTTGGGGAAGAGAAAGAATAAGTGAGATTGGATCTAGGGTTAGCTATTTATAGGGAACATCCCCATAATAGCCTTAGAAAGCAAAAATAAAAAAGTCAAAGATGGTCAACTTTGGTTCTCGGGTTAATGCATATCGGAAGGAGGTCTTGATCGATATGCTGCTCGGTACATCGTTCTGGTTGCGGGCAGTAAAGATGAAACCGTCGTATCTTTTGAACCACTGACCGGATTGACTTGATTCGACCTCTTTTGTAAAGCTTATTCGATCCTCTACAACTTCCAAGAAGGACTCGGAGGCTGAATCGCACCAGAAGACCTTCGTTCGGACCCATACATTTCATATCGATCTGCATACCAGGCAGGTTTTCTCAGTTTTGGTCGATACAAGACTTTGGTGCAGCCTAAAACCCGTTAACTTGGCCATTATACTTGGTTCTTCATGTCCTCATCATTCACCATTCTCCAAGTGTCTTCCTTGCTCCATTTAAACCTGAAAAAGACTCCAAACAATGCAAAACATGCAAATGTCTAACCTAAAACCTATTATGTCTAATATGAATGCAAATAGAGCAAAACATGATGAATGAATGCATGAAAGGGACCAAAAACTAAACTAAATGTATGCTAAAACATAGTAAATTATGAGGTTATCAGGAGTCTCACTGATCTATCAGCCAACACTAAAGAGATCCCGTAGTCTTTAAATTCAGTGAAACCAAGACGCCTAGCAATGATATAAGGCATGAGGCTTACACTTGCTCCTAAGTCACATAGGCACTTGTCAAACATTAGTGGACCTATAGAGCAAGGCAAAGTAAAACTTCCTGGATCACCAAGCTTGTTGGGAGACACCTTTTGCTGCTGAATGATGGCGCTGCACTCATGTGTTAGCACAACCATGCCTTGCAAATCTTTAGTTCTCTCAACTACAACATCTTTCAGAAATTTCTGGTAAGGAGGAACCAAGACAAAGGCATCAAGCAATGGCATAGTGAGCTGTATTTTCTTCATCTGCTCATCAAATAGACCTTTGTATTTGGCAATCAGCTCTTTCTTGAACCTTCCAGGAAATGGTAGTGGTGGCTTGTAAGGACGATGAATGTATCTTGGTTCTTTAACTAACTCCTTGGACTCCTCCTTTTGCTTCTCTTTGGCAACATCTTTGCCTTTATCCTTCCTTGGGATTTTATCATCTTTGACTGGTTCATCATCTTTCATTACCACTTCATCATCTTTTATTACCACCTCCCCTTATTATTTCTCAATGTCCTCATTGTGGATAGTGGGAGCAACTCTAGGTGGAAGCTGTTTTCCACTTCTCAACGTGACAGCTTTGATGTACTCTCTAGAGGAGTGAGATGTAGAAGGTGCATGTTGTAGTTTCAGTTGCTTAAGATTTTTGTCAAAGGCTAGTTGCTGAGAATGAAGTTCTGAATCTGAGACTGAAACTTGGACTTTAGTGTAGCTACTTGTGTGGTGATGGCCTGTTGTGAAGAGATGAGCTGCTGTAGCATTTGCTTCATGTCATGTTCTTGTGGTGAAGGAGGAGGTGAAGGTTATGTTGTTGTGGCAGTCTCTCCCCTTCTTGTTGTTGAACATATTGCACCAGAAGCTGTTGCTGAAGCTGTGATTGGCGGAATCCATCATCCATTCTCTCTTTCATCACTTTCACTTCTAGTAATGTAGCCTCTAGTTGAGAAGAGACCGATTTTGAAGTATCTTCTTGGTCCTCTCCATAGTGTGCATTGCTATGAGCCAGATTCTCAATCAAAGACAAGCCATCTTCCACATCTTGACCAAGAAAGTTACCTCTACTAGCTGTATCAAGGAGTAGTCTCATCTTGGGCAAAACACCTCTATAGAGTGTATACAACAGTGCCTCCTTTGTGAAACCATGATGAGGGCAGTGGACTGTGAAGCTTCTGAAGCTTTCCCAAGCATTTGAAAAACTCTCATTGGACCATTGGTGGAAGTTGTAAATCTCATTTCAAAATTTGGCAGTCCTTGAGGGAGAGAAGAACTTGGTTAGGAAAGCAGTTTTGCATTGAGCCCATGTTGTGATGCTTCCTTGCTACAAACCTTTCTCCCATAGTTGAGCTTTATCTCCAAGTGAGAAAGGGAAGAGTCTAAGCTTCAGACCATCATCAGATATACCACTTATTATAGCAATAGAGAAAATCTTCTCAAAGTTGTCTAGATGCTCAAGTGGATCTTCATTGGCCAGCCCAAAGAATCTGCTGTCTTGAACCATTGCAATCATCCCTTTTCTGATCTCAAAGTGACTGTCTTCTAGATGAGGGATGATCCCATGTCTTGATGCAAAGTGTATTGGTAGATCGCCAGCTCCTATTGGTCTTTGTGGCCTATGATCTCTCAAACCCCAATCACCTTGCAAACCCATTGGACCTTGCTGTCCTTGTGGACCTTGGAGACCTTGTGGACCTTGAAGACCAAAACCAGCAGTATGTGGATGCTCTTCTATCCTGAAACAACTGATAACTGCTGCTGTGAACTCAAAATTCTGCTCCTTGGACTAGTTGTGCAGCTGTAGAGACCTTAGACCAAGTGTTTTGGTACCTACAAAAGAAGTTCTAGTCCAAAAAGAGCAATTAGTAACCAAAAACTAAAATAAATGCTTGATCTCAAACAATCTACAAATCATAATGCTTGGAACAATCCCAAATTGCAACGACGCCAATTTGATGTAGGATTTTACTCTACTTCAAATCCTTAACACACTCATGTCATTGCAGCATGTAAGGTATCAATCCAAATGGGCAAAGTAAACAATCAGGAATGCAATAGATTATCTAATTGAAACAAGCATAAATGGGTGATTGTAACTATGAATCTAACAACTAAAAGAG